GAAATTGCTGAGCATTATGGTTAGAATGGATAAAAGGAAGTACTTCTTTACCCAAAGAGTGATTAACATATATGGAATTCACTGCCACAGGAAGTGGTGGCGGCTACAATCATGAACGGCTTCAAAAGGGAATTAGATAAGCATATGGAGCAGAGGTCCATCAGTGGCTATTAGCCACAAGGTATAGATAGGGACTCTGGGGAAGTGATGCTCTGTCATCTTGGTGCTTGGGGGGCGGTCAACAGTGGGAGGGCATCTAATGTCCTGGCCCCACTGGTGGACCTCCTGATGGCACTGGTATTTTTGGCTACTGTGTGACATAGTGTTAGAGTGGATGGGCCTTTGACCTGATCCAACATTGGCGTCTCTTATGTTCTTATGTTCATACTAAAAATGAAAAAAAGGGGGGAGGGAGATTTTGTTCCTTTTGTAGATTATTATTTTGACAGAAGTGATAAAAACATCACTGCATTAAACAAAATTGCACCCAACGTCTTACGCCTCTCCTCTAATATTATAAAATAGTAATCAATAATACCAAACACATACACAAACACATGAAATCATTGGTCTGTCAGGGTCATCACTGTGTACTTTGAATGGTGGTGGCTCTCCAGAGTCTCAGGTTGAGGTCTTTCTCATCACTTACCACCTCAGCCTTTTAGCTGGAGATGCTGAGGAGGGAACCTGGGACTATGTCAAGCAGGTGCTTTACCACTGATCCATGGTCCTTCCCACAGACCAAGAAAACCATGGCATTGGTTCTCAGTCCAGTTACCTTTATTGGCACGTAACCCTTGCAAACCCATATACAAAAACAACACAACAGCAACAACCACAGCATTGAATAATACTTGCAAAATACAGAAACAAGGAGTTACCAAGTAAGTATACCCATCAATTAAATAAAGGGCAAATAGAAATGGCACCAAAAAGAAATTTAGCAACAGTTTCTGTTATCTCAAGGTTTGGATTATCAAGAAGAATAAGGATCTTTAAGCAATCAGGATATTCTTCTAATTGAGACAAAATAAAATTCAGAAATTTCAGTTGTAGTGCATGGTAGAAGGGGCACTGCAACAAGACATGGGAAATCGTTTCAATATTATCATTTGTGCATGGACAACATCTGTCAGAAAAGGGCACACCCTGAAAGCAGCCAGATAATAAGGCCGAAGGTAATACATTGAATCTCGCCAAAGAGAGGGCTCTACGGAGTTTGGGGGTGCGAAGTTGGTACAGGTAAGAGGCAGGTTGGCTGACTTTAGGAGATATTCCAAAATACAGGGGTGAACAGGTTTTATTAGCAGCATTATACCGTGAATGTAGCTCAGAACAAAGTAGATTGGCTCTTATAATTGAAAAAGCCTCAGATTCGGAAGTAAGGAGTAAGGAATCTAAGGTGATATCCAGAGATCTAATTTTGGATTCTATATAGATAATCCAGTTAGAGTCATTAGATTCCAGTAGAAGCTGATAGTTGTAACTAGAAGGGTCCGAATTGAAAAGAAGGCGAAGCCAATACTTAATTGTAATTAGCCATGCTTTAATTATCAACATGTTCATGGCCTTGGTTATCCTACAATAACTTTAGCTTTCAGTCTCCTTAAGCTCCTCTATCAAGGTAGCCCAAATATTTATTGCCTTTCTCTATTATGAGGAGAAAAACTGGTAAAGAGTCAATATTGCACCACATTTGTGAAAGAAGACAGAAAAGAAGAGTTGTATCCAGGTATCACATTACCATGAAAAATGTTCATAAATCTAGCTTGTTGCCTAGTTCATTAGCATGCATCACTCATTCCTCCTCCAGACAGGAACTGTAATCAAATGCCACTGCTGGATAGCCATAACATATGAATGAGGGCATGCGGTTAACAGTACTTAGTTACTGTTAACTTCCTCAGTACAGTTAACTCTTCCTCCAACTAGGGTTTTAAACCTAGATTAAACCCTAGTCTACAAACCCAATTTCTAAAGTGAAATGAACTCCCATTAATTCAGATGCCTACATGTGTATGTCATGGGTAACCCAACATAGGCTCCTTTCACATTACTGTTCTAAACCCAGTGTTATCTGTTGTTGCCCCATTCCAAGTAAAGAAAGACAGGGACAAGGGTTTCATACAGTGAATTTTATTCCATCAATGAGCCATTTCTGAAGCAATCTAGCCATTTCAAACAGTGCCATGCTTTCCCCCCAGCCCTTTTTGCCGCACAATCTTCCTTGAACTTTTTTTTTAATGTTCTGAGTGCTATAATGTGAGACCAATATAGCACTTCTCAATGTATCTCAATGGTGCCATTGTAGCACTGAAATGCTATATTTGTCGATTGCTTAGAACATTCCAAAAAAAGTTCAAGGAAGATCATGCAGCACAGAAGGACGGTGGGGGAGGGAAGTATGGCATTATTGGAAGTGCTGCAGACATTTTAAACAGCACACTACTGTGATTCAGAAGTTCAAAGAGGTGAAAATGGAAGAAAGCAGTTTACCTCAAGAACTGCTCAACCATGCTCTGCTAGTCCTTTCTGCCCTAAATTCACAGGATCTGCCTAAGTTTGCAGGATCAGCATTGCTGTCAGATGGTCATCTAGGCTCTGTTTAAAAACCTCCAAAGAAGGAGAGTCTACCATCTCCTGAGGAAGCCTGTTCCACTGAGGAACTGCTCTAACTGCCAGGAACTCTAACTGTTCTTCCTAATGGTTAGCTGAAAACTCTTCTGATTTAATTTCAACCTGTTGTTTTTGGCCCAACCTTCTGAGGCAACAGAAAACAACTCCGCACTATCCTGTGTATGACAGCCCTTCAAGTACTTGAAGATGGTTATCATATCACCTCTCAGTTGTCTCCAGAACCTTCAGCCTTTCCTCATAGGACTTGGTCTCCAGACCCCTCACCATCTTTGTTGCCTTCCTATGGACACATTCCACCCTGTCTGTATCCTTCTTAAATTGTGGTGCCCAAAACTGAACCAGAGCATAGTAAAGCCATACTATCACTTCACATGATCTGCATATTATACTTATGTTGATATAGCCCAAAATTGCATTTGCCTTTTTAGCTAACGCACCACACTGCTGACTCATGTTCAGTGTATGGTCCACTAAGACCCTTAGATCCTTTTCACACATACAAGTCTCCCCCATCCTATAATTATGCATTTGATTTCTCCTACCTAAATGCAGAACTTTACATTTATCCGTGTTAAAATTAATTTTATTTTAGCCCATTTTTCCAGCCTGTCAAGATAATCCTGTATCCTGACTCTGTCTGGTTGTGTCTGAAGTGACACAAATAAATCTGTTATCAACCGGTTACCAAAAGGGATGACAAAGGCTGTCTGACAGGGGCCTTAGTGTTTAACCATGATTTTCAATGAAGGGAGACTCTCTTGGAAGAATGGAGAAGTGAGCAAGAGATGTGTGTGCATGATTTCGGCAACAAAGCAGATTCATTAAGATTTTTCCTTTTTTGTGATTACATGTGACATCTGAATGCAGCTGAGGGAGTAATGACAAAAATATTTTTCCAAGCATGAAAATTATGTAAAAAAATTGTAACAACAAAGCAAAGTAAAACTGGGCACAAACCAGCCAAAGGGGAAGGCAAACAGAATTAATGATGTGGAACCTAATGTCACTTCCTGAAGCCATCTGAAATAAATATTTTACTGTTCTGCAAAAAGGCCTCAAAGATGGAACCACATAGATTGATTGGGGGAGGCAATCCCTAAATTCTACAATATCCACTGAGAAAGGCCTGGTCTTAGGAGAAGGCAATCCTGCCTTCGTGCCTGGAGCAGGGCCACTCCCGCTGATAACAAATGTCAGGATATGCATATGGAAGGTCACACTGCTGGAGGTACATTGGATCCATACCTTGTATGGCTTTAGAGGCTAAAACCAGGACCTTGAATTGGGCCCAGAAACATATTGGCAACTAGTATAGCTGTAATAGATACAACATGAAAGGCGGCTTCCCCCTACTACAACATTCTTATACATGCCAGTCTGCTAGCACTGTTCCATAAAATTTAATGGGAGCCATTGAGAACAGAGTCTGTGACTATTAGCCTTGCCCTGCCCTTGATTTCTTACCTTGATCTCGCTAGAGTTAAACTAGACTGTAACAAATAGATGGAACCTGGGAACTGGGAACAAGGCAGCTTATAGCTAAAAATCAGAATAACATGTAGAAAATTATTCCTTTTTATCTAAAGTGAAAATAATTGCTGGCACATTCAGTGTATGGTAAGAGAAGCTTGTTTCAAAACGTATCTGCTATCTTCATAATACTTTCTAAAAAAGAAATACCACTGGACTCAGTCAGACTAACATGAAATGAGTGGTTTGATTGAGTACTATGCTGAGACATGTCTAAATGAATATATTGCAGAAAGGAATGGTCCAGAAACTCATATGTGCAAGGGCATTCTTTCATTTTCTCCCTTATAAAAGGGAAATGTTACTTGTATTATGGTCACGAGTAGTTTTCCCTCAAGATCAAGATAGGAAGCCAATATGCACACAATGGATCATGGTCACTGATTACAGCAAATATAGGGAAGAAGCTAATGTTGCAAAATGGCTGTTCTTTCAACTGCTGTTCCAGTCTAATTTTCTGTAATTTATGTAAAAAGATAATTATGTAAAAGACAATTCTGCTATTAATTGCCCAAAGAACTAAAAGCTAGAGATGTTGCAGGCTAATAAACAAATGGTAGAAAATATGCATATTAATGGCCTTTTGAAAGAATTTGTTTTCCCAGAAGGAATCAGAATTCCCTTTGCTTCTCTTTCATCAATAAACTGAAGGCTTCAAGCCCATTTAGAAATACATTTTCTGAATTAGTTTGTTTTCTGCTCCTAAAAATAAAATTCTGAAAATGAGAGAATTCTCAGATACCAATTCATAACTAATGTTGCTCAATGAAAATGCTTAGTGATGAGAAGGGAAACTTATCCTTAAATGAAAAGTGAATAATGTTATCACTTACCTAAATCCTAACACTCGGATTTCCTTGAAACCTGCAAGTTTCTCAAATATCTTTTGCATCTATTAAACAGAAAGGAAAAGAAAGGAAAAAGTAGACTATATGTTAATTCTTCCACAGAAACTAAGAGACATTAGCTAAATAAGTAGTTGCTCCCAGCAGACTCTATAGTAGTATTTGTAAAACAACTGTTTGTAATCCAGAGAGAATTCATGGAATTTGTTTCAGTTGTGTGGTTACTGGAGACTTTAGCATTTAATCTTGGACATAAATACATATCTGGATTAATGGACCAAGCAAGGTCCACGCTACAGCTTTTGTCACCAAGTACTGGTAACAATGTTATGAAGGGCATCATTTAAGATAGGCTTCAGTTTCCAAGGGCAAGATTCACTACAGAAATTGAGAGGTATTAATGCAGGGACCTAGCAACCCTATTCTAAATATGTACAGAAGCCTTTCCCTCACTATTAAGCTTGTATTCACAAATTATGTTTGTTCGTGTCAATGACCCTACACGCATACATGTGGAACAATAATCCTTAGCTGTGAGAACATCACTTTAATACATGAATATTCAGGAACAAATTCAGGTTTGCTGTCACATGTGTAATAGGATCTAAGTAACCACAGCCACACCTCAAGTCTTGGGACCTGAGCTTCATGGTGAACAGAGGTGTGTTCATGAAAGGCATTCCTTTAACTAAAATGTTTATCTCCTATCTTCACCAGAGGAGGCGTGCAATCAGGTCCCTGTAAAAGAAATTAGTCACTGACTTGAAGCCAAACATATGATTAAGCTGCATCTTGTTAGCTTTGTGCATCATCTACAACTTAATATGGCTAAAAATATCTATTATGGAATAGTCGCACCATTTTATACACTTTTTGTGTTCGACAGGCTGTTTCTAGCAGCCAGCTGCCTAATGAATTATATATATGCATTAAGAGACAAGAAGAGCAATCATAAAAACCCTTTCCTGAGAGTAAGCCCCGCAGAAAAGACCTGAGTAGGACTGCTCAGTACCAACCTAAGCAGAGTCACAGCCTTCTAAGCCCATTGACTGAAAGAGATTTAGATGAGTGTAACTCTGCTTAGGAGGGTACTGTAGGAAATGCTGGAGAACTGTTGGATCTCACAGAAATGATAAAAGCTCACCAGTCAACGAGCCTAATGGGCCTCTTATAAGTCCACTGACTTTTAATGTGGCGTAATGATCCATTTTAGCACATTTGCTCAGAGTGCTACCATCGCCATTACTATCTAATTAGCTAGTCTGGTCCCGGGCACAAAAAGAATAAGCAGAATGCATTGTTAAGCACTTTGCACACAGCCCAATCCACCGAATAAAAGCCGTGCTGAAGGAACAGACTCATTGGATCTAAATGGCGATTGCATAACAAAAAGTGCCATGCAACTGAGGTTGATGGGATGTGACAAAAAGCAGGGAATTGTGCAGGTAATATAAAAGGCACATGGAACAGGGCCACCAATGATGACCATAAAATATGGGCAGGTTCAAACAGGTTCTTTAGTTACACCAATTCAAGATCACTCATAGGTTTTAGTGTGGAAATCAGCATTTTGAACTGAGTCCAGAAATGAAAAGGCAGAGGGTAAAGTCTCATTTTCATTGAACCCTCTTCAAATGTAGAGTGCATTGCAACAACCTAGCTGTCACCGGAGAGCTTTGACAGGATTTAGGGCTGGATCCTACTAGCCTGATTCCCTTCTTCACCCTTTGTCTGCATCAGTCCCATGAATCTTGGCTTAGGATTTATGGTAGTCAAAAGCTCTCCCACCCCCATGCACTTGCCTCAAGGGGCAGGGCTCACTGAATCATCCCTCCAGGCTGGCCACAAACACCAGTCTGCTTTCTACAAGTTGTTTATTCCCAAAACCTCACTAAGCTGAACAGTTCCCATGGTTACAGCACCCAAAACTGCCTCTTTCCCCCCCTACTTCTGGGGCAGCCCTGCCCATTATCAACGTCCTCTTTAGTTGAAGAACTTTTTCAGCATTTCCACCAGCTTGGCTGTATGACGCTGCTGCTTCTCCCTCCCTTTGTCAGTTACAGCCCTCTTATTCACAGTCTCAGACTCTTTTAGCTGGCTTGACCTTGGCACTGCTTCTGTACTCCTCCCATGCAGCCTTTTCCTGCCCTGACCCAGAACCTAGCGGCCTGACCTGGGTTCCTCCCTGGGGTGGCCACTGAACTGCTCTGCCCCCGCCTAGGCCCAAGAACCTGTCATGCCACCAGCTCCACAGGCATCCAGAGCGACACACCCACACCAACTGCCCATCTAGACATTGGGCACCCCCCCCAGGCCTGCAGCACTGGCTCTGCCCCTCCGGCCTCCACTGGCTGGCTGCCCATTGCACCAGCCAAGGGAAGGCTCATCATGACTGCTTTTACCTTTGTCCAGAGCACCACTGGGCCCAGCTCAGGCTTCCCCTACAGAGTGCCATCCTAAGCAGAGTTAAACCTAAGTCCAGGTCGAGTAGTAATTCCTGAACAAAACAAAATTGGCAAACTTCCGATCCTTGTTCTTGGCACACATTAACTGCAGCAGCCTTGTGGAGAGAAAGGCCAATTAAGATGGTTACTTTACTCCCCACAACGCCAAGCAATCTTGGAAGAGATGGTAAAGAAGACACACAGCCTCACTAAGAATAATAAGATCTGCCCACTGTTCTTTCTGCATCAAGGGGGGGGCAGTTACAACTTTATGTTCGAACCGAATCCCCCACTCTGTTCACTAGATACTGTCTCGGAAGGGAGAAGAGACGTCTATGCACAAAGACCAGATCCATGAACAATTTCACTGGTGAATGCCTCATTTTGAAATAATAGCTAGAACAATTTCAAAGTTGTCAGAAGCAGTGTCAGCAAGTTTTTATACACACACACATACTTTACTGCTGTCTGGAATTTTACTTAAAGCACATAACATGATCCAAACTATTGTTGTTAGGTAATCGATTTATAAGCTGTCAGAAATCAATAGAGTACCACTGTAAGGAAAGGTTGTCAGTAACTTTCCACAAGAATGTGTGCTGTATTTTAGGAAAAGATTATCTGTAATCTCCTTCAACACTCTCTAGGCAAACATTGCCTTTTGCAATCGATTAAGAATTCCAAAAGGCAATGAACCCCCCCACCCCCAAAAGCAACTTCTGGCAGCACCCCTCCCCATCCCTTTCTCATATTGACTTTTGCTTAATTTTCAACTAAGTAATCCTCCCTGTCATTAATTGCTGACTGTTAAATAGCTAATGAAGCGAGCACTTAGCCTTAATAATGATATAAATACTCCACCTCTGCTCCAACTCTGTGAAGAAACATGATAATGCCCAACCAAACAGCTAGAGGAGAATGTGTATGGCCCCCCTCCCCCCCAGTCTTCTGGCTGCTTCCTTTGAAATGGAGTTCACACAGCAGTGGTTAATTTTGTTCAATGTTCATATTTAAATTGCTCATTAGGTTTATTGTAGGAATGAAATGACTACAAAGCACTGTCCATTAATTTCTGATTAGGCTCAAATGACTTTCTCTAATGGTGTGTAGTATGGCTCATGCTGTCTGCTGACTGGGTATCTTTGCAGTCTGTCTTTTGCTGCTGAAGGGATCTGAGCAATGCTTGTTAGTCAAGTGAGTGAACAGATGTCAGGAGATACATCTAGCTAAGACCCGATTTGAACATTAACAAGGATGGAGGCAGCACACCGAGATGAGCCTCTGAGAAGGATGTACCATCATAGAATGCTCTTGGGAAATTCTGCATAGTTCAGTATGCAGTACAGTCTCATAAAGCCCTATTCCTAGATATTTGAATAGAGGACTTTCTTTAGGACACATTTTCTGGTAAACGTTGAACAGATAGCTTTTAGCTGATGCACAGCTACCAAACGAAACCTGCAATATGGCAGTGACAGGTGGAAAAGCCTGGCTCTCCTCAACCCATGATGAACCTCAGATCGTTTCTGTGATCACCCTGCTCCATATAAGCAGGAGTCAAAGAAATGTGTTCTGGTTTCACTATCAAGTACATTACCTCACAGTACTCCCTCTTCCTTCTGTGTCTTAATGGTAATAGCAAGATCTGCACTTTATACCCTTAGTGCATGTTGCCCTGCAAGGAGCTTATAATGCTCTTATGGACTTATGACTAAATAAGTAGACTGTGCAATAAGTGTGCCAAAGGAAATGGAATGTGCGGTGACCACGAGCTGATGCCAACTACCTGGACGGTGAACACACACACAGATGAGGGAAGCCTCCCCCTGAGATGATGTACCAGACCAAGGATGGATCCATGGCTTACCTGCCACCTCTCATCTGCAACACAGCAGAGATGAGCCAAGCACCCTGGTCGTGAACAGCACACAGAAGCCAGTAAAAGCATGCTGTAGAGGAATGCCATGTAATGCAAGGAAACATGAACATCTCCACAGAGACTCCATGAACAGAAACCTCTGTCAGCACACAGGCACACCTCCCCCCCTTCACCAGATGCTGCATGTATGCTGCCCAGTATAACAAAAGAACTGCTTGCATAAAGGGATTAGCCGACTGACATGTACCTGCCAAGCCCATCACCCAGAGCGATCATCAGGCCATCAAGACCAACGACACTGGCCGCTTCTGCTATTGTCTTCTAAAGGTGCCACTGTTAGTAGTAATGGAATCAATATTGCCCAACCATTAAGCTCCCATCCTCCTGAAACCAGTTTTTGTTTAAACAACTTCCTGGGGATGTGACAAGGGGAAGTGGCCAGGGAAGCCCACCCCCAAGTCCAAATAATGTATAAAAAGAGCAGGATCTGCCATGCTCTCTCTCTCTCTACTTGACCGCATCCTACCTTGCTGACTCTTGGTTTAAGTGCTACCCAGAGTCTCTCCATGTGTTCTGCCTGTTCAGAATATGACCCTTTCCCCCCTTTTAGTCTCCATTATTTTTCCGCTGTAAGGATCGCTTCATCACATCAGGACAGGTCAGTATTGGCCAGCCAATGAACTCCTGCTAATGCTAATGTCTCTGTACCTTTTCAGTCTATTTTTCTTAGTTCTGTGTTGTTGAGTGTGTGCTTGAGATTCATTTGAATATGTGCTAATCCTTTAGTAAAGAAACCATTTCACCAAGATCTGGTCTCTGCATCTATTTCTGGGATTACTGGAATAAGTGGGACTCCTGTATACAAAGGTTATTGTTCCCTATTTGCCAATTGCCATTTATTATATTTAAATTCCCCATCTTTATTAATAAATTAAGGCAATTTGGCTAACATGCAGGTCTGCACAGCTGATGCCCCAAAAGCTGAACATAGCCATATACCAAGGTATTTGCCAATCCATGGACAAGCATTTGCCAGCCCACAGACCCAGTCTACCAGATGTGCAGGTGAACCTATGATAGGACAGTGGTCTATATTTAGCTTGATGCAAACAAAAGCTAGCCATTTTGGCATGTCACAACATGGAAAGTCAGGAGAAATGGAATTCTATGGTTTGAACAATAGAATTTCTAAACCATGGAGCCACATGACAAAAAGGAAAATAGTAATGCAGAAAGTAATACCAGTACTATTGCAGACCCTATTGATAGCCAGAGTGTTCCCGTGTATAGAGGAAAACACATATCAATTCCTGTTAGTGGCTATCAGGTAACCTGAGACAGGTCACTATCTAAGTTGCAGTGCCTCCCATAATAATGCTGCTGTGACATCATCAAACATTTGTCCCACAATATAGTGCTACCAAGTATGGTGCTCTTTATAGAGCTGCCTTGTCTTATTGATTTGGATTTGGGGTACCAATTTGACAGTGTGATGAAGCTTTAAGAAAGCATCATCAAGGTTGAAATAGCTGACCTAATGAAACTTAAGATGTCCCAGTGATTTCAGTGCAGGAGACTTAAGCACTCCTCTGCTGGGTTATGCTTTGCTATATTTATCTAAAATATCATTTGCTATACCAATGCATGTTTGGGTGTGGCCTGGCAAACAGAAGCAATGTTTCCTATTGATCCAATGCACTGCAACATGAGTGTATTATTCCGTGAACAAATTTTTATTTCTATTAGGTGAATTGCTCTTACTTGAAGCTGAAATTTGGCAGCTAGCTTCTGGTATTGAGGGGAGGTAGGATCACTCAGTTCTGGGGTGTATTCCTGGTTGATAAGGGTG